TAAAACAGGGTCGCAACGGGTCAACTTTACATCAACAGTTATGTAACGGGCATGCTGCCCCTGCGCAGTCGCAATAGGTTTTTTCCACAGCATTTCCAAACGTGAAGTAGCTACAATGACTTTCTGCCAATTTTGATAACAAAGACGTATCTTTTCAGGGTCCGTAGATCTACGTATATATCTGTGACACCTCATAATTCAACTGCTTGTGAGGCTCATCGTTGAACACGTGAATGAGTTAAGTTGCACTCCGTTTAGCAGTAACCCTACTGCGCATACTCAAAACAAGGATTAAACTAGAACTCTGAGATATGCGATTGGAACTCGACAGTTGTCGGATGATAATAACGTTAAGTGACTGATAACAGGCTTCAGGGTAATTCAGACCACAGGTAACAAGAGTCGAAATCTTTATGGCCTGCACCCCTTCGTTTTTGGGAAAAAAAATTCTTAGAAATCAATTTGAAATGCCACCTTAAGTAATAATGATTAGTAGCGTTGGGGAACTGTTCCACTACCATTTAATAGACTCCTTTATGGCATGAATAGATATCTATTTTAATTCAGATTTCACTGACGCGTCCAATTGTTGTTGACAGGCAAACACCCATTGATATACAAGTATCGCCCTTAGACATGCTCAGTGGTGCCAACGTTAATGGAAAAGTAAGTGGAAGGTTAAGTACAGGTGATTTCTAAACAAAAATAGATATTGGAGGATTGTGTGTCGAAAAACACGAATTTCGCACAAAGATTTATCGTTTGCGAAAAAAGATCAGAAACTTTGTTAGTACTGTATCTCCGCCCATGTCCAAATTGATAAAAAATGGCCACAAACATAAAAAGCTATAGCTATTATACTCAGCTACAACTTAGATGTACTATGCGACAAAGTAATAAAATACAGTTGCCCTCCCTTCAGCAGCCATCTCACTGCGCATGCTCAAAAAAGGAGTAAAATGGATTTGTGTGGATCACGTCTAGACCTAGATGTTTATAGTTTTAGCATGATTATGAACAGGAGGGTCCTCGGTGATTGATTGCAGACCAAAGGATCATCAGACCACGAGTAATTCAAGTTTCAGTCTACACATGTCTTTTTTCCCTCGCAGTGGCCAAAACAAACCTTTTCTGCATGCAAAGGAGATTTTAGATGTGAATTATGGACCCCAGAGAAAGTTGTCGTGGGAGTTTTTGGATACCCGCCCATAACTGGTGTTTATTTCAAGAGTAACGCTACTGGACATGCGTGGTAATGTCATTGCTGATGCAAGTGCAATTGGAAGGTTAACTTCAACTGTATTAAAACCATCGGCGCGGAAAGAAATAATGAATGATGGTGAGTCAAAGATGGAAGATTTTCAGCTGAAAGTTCTATCTTTGGCAGAAAGATAGTAGATCAACAGGGCTCATTTTCGGTTTTGTGCCTCCACTGACTTACAAAAACAACAACAATAATAGCAAAATAATTTCAAAAAATTTATAAAATGATCGAGACCAAACATCTTGGGACAACCATTTAATCTTGTATGGATTGACTGTTTTTTGAGACAGTAGATCTCATTGTCAGCGTTCATTTACAAAAAACAAACAAACCTGGACACGTTTGTTATCCAACTGTTGCATAATGGGCCTGAACAAACAACGTGACACAGTATCAGATTCCCTTCTTACGGCTGTCGTCGCACTGCGCATGCTCAAAAATGTCTAAAATTGATTGATGTCGATTGCGATTAGATCATAACCTTTTTAGGGTAAAATGAAGATTTAAAGGAATGAATATATTGGCTGATAAAGCCGGGAACACTGAATTATTTCAGATCATGAATAACACAAGTCCTAACTTGTGTTTGTTAGTTCACCTCATGTTTGCCGGCCAAAAAATCATTTTGTATACTTGTACTCACAATGTGATAGGAACCAATTTTAATCCAAAATAAAGTTATTAGGAAAAGTTCTGTTTGAGTAGCTGTTGCATAACTTTTCTTAAGTTACGTAATGAATGGTGAACGCGGACGGGTGTTTTTTTCAAAAGTCTGGTTACTATCAGAATTTTATTATCATCACAAACAACAAGATAAATGGAACCCTTGTTTATGTTACTGAGGATGCGTAGTGGCATGTTCGCTGAAGCAAGAGCAACTCGGAGTTCAAAATCCAGTAAACTAATAACATCAACAATAGCATAAGCTGCGCGAGTAATTTCACGCGCCACCAAAAAAATTTTGAGTTATGTTTACATTCATCTCCAAAACTGTGTCTTAAAGGTAACACCTTGCCATACTTAAGGTAAAGTATTCTTGTTCCTATTCAGTTTCACAGATTTTTTAATCGTTCCAGTATCCCTGCTGCCGAATCTAACATCGTGTAATCAGAAGGCTTGACCCCGCAAATGCACTTCCTTTAGCAATCGCGCTATTGCGCATGTACAGTGCCATTCGCTGGGGATCTATCTGTCTCACGTGCGAATAGCTAATAACAAAGCCCTTTGAAAAGAAAAGGCAGCATTGGTTTGCTGTGTGTAGGACATGCAACAGATCATTGGATCTTTGGAAGGCTAAAAAAGTTGTGTTAATACGCTTCTCACGTACTGCTTTGAATCGATAATCTATGGGTGCCTCAACACAAGCAAGCGAACAAGCACAGTAACAAAAGTATCACTGTAGACTGTAGGACGCAAAGACCCCTACCTGCAATATGAGACCAAGAATTAACTAAATTTAGCCACGCTACGTCTGGATAGTAATATGGCCTTATTGTGAACTCTAATTATAAGAAGTGGTTCAGCTGACGCTGTTCCTTACGGATTGTGTGCCACGAAACTGAATTTCAACCGATAAGTAAATCCCCCATGTAAGAGAAGATTAAGAGGCCACACAGAGGAAATCACTGCGGAGTCTAGAAAATACTGTAGTTGAAGGTGCGGATGGTTTTAAGAATTTTTTGCCGCATTGAAACCATGCACTGCATCTTGGACATTTCTTCTCGCTGATCTGAAGTCCTGTATTTCTCTATTCCCATCGAGCGCTAACACGGCTGATAGCCTGGAAGAACTAGGCTGGAATTCCGAACAACAAGACGTATATGTGCGTGAACTTTGGCTTCTTTCCAGGCATATCCAGCTGTAAACGCCAGAGAGTTTACATATTACAGTCGATAGCCACACCGATAAACCCTACTGTTAATATAAAATTAGTGTAACCGTCAGATGTGAGTGATTCAAAGGCTCTTTGTAAAGAGGTAGAGTACTGATATCCTTCTATTATTTTGTCTCGATCCACTGTGCCAGAATCGCTATCACTGTATTCTAGTTGATAGTCAGCCTCAGGCACATTTAACATTGTTGGCAATTCTGTCTGCATTAAATACGACTGTCTTGCTAATTGAGACAAACCTGAATACAATTGATTCCCAATATTTATGTCGATGAGATCATGACCAGAACTTATCCTTTGTCTTTGGTATTGTAAATGAAAGAACATGAACTCCTTGCTACACATTTTTGCCTTGAATTTTGTGCAAATACTAACTCATTACCTTGGCTACATGGTTGAAATGGAATATGTAAAGATGTTGGTATAAAGGTCTTGTTATTCTTCCCATTCCAGACTCTCGTACCGTGCTTTAAATTTTTTACCATACTTCACCGTCAATTAATATGAAGGAAATTACCTATAACTTGATTGTTGATCTGCCCTCCAGCTGTTATACAATTCCTTGTTAATAAATTACAAGAATTTGGTGTTAGATCACGATAACAACTTCTACCTGGTAAATTTGAGTATTCTCGTTACCTATCTGCTGGGTAAAGTGTAGATGTTGTAGGGAGGAGTGATATGTTAGCCACTCTCATGAGTTAAACGGTTAACAGACATTGAGCGCAACTTTCCGAGAGTCAAACAAGTCTATAATAGAGCAAAAATTGAGTTTGGTACGGCTCTTGCGTCGGTCAAACGGAAGCCAGTTACAAGATCTTTAAATTTAGATAATGCTGCGTTAGCATGAATAACCATTTTCCTAGCGCCTTCTTCAGAGGTTCAGGGAAGGTGCGCAGGCTCGCAGAGGGTAGTGGGACTAAAGTCGGTGATTTACGGCCGTCAAGAAGGTGAGACACTGTTACTGTCATACGTGTGACTGTCTCGCTTCGCTCTCTTTTAATAAACAATAGGTTTGTGATTTTCCGGTGATAAGCTTCTTCCTGACAAGTTTTCCCGTGTTATTGACTCAATATTTTTTTGTTTTTTACATGTCTTCTTTTTTCGATTCATTCCTGTACCTTGAAGAGTCAACATTAAATCTATTATTTTCCACTTAAACCAGAGTGACTGTAGGTAATGATCAACGTATCCCATGTTAACGCCCTCAGACGTTTTGTTATTGATGTAACGCAAGTGTTGAAATCAGGATACGCAAAATTTTCTGCGAGTTGCACTGCTGTTTCGGCCCGAGAACCTCGTCCTTTTTTTTTTCTTTTCCCAGCTAGGTTAGGCAGATTTTCGTGTTCTTAGCTTTGGTGTATTTTTTCCACACAGTTGATGTCTGTACGGATGTTGAAGTTAAATTAATGGCACGGTGTAGATATTTTCAATATTTTGTGTCTGGTTGAGTTATGAAGACAATATTTACTTAAAAATCAGATCGCAGAGAGCGTGACTATTCCGTGAAATTTATCCAACTTCACGGTTTGTTTTTCCTTGGCCTAAAATGTTCTGTTTCGTTATTTGCAATCTACATCAACCCGGCTTCACACCCCAACATCAGTATGTATATTCTCCACACTGTTCTCTACATAAGGAGAATTTGTATCACAATTAAGAGCTTCTTCGTTGGTGATCATTTCTTTTATCCTCGTGACCTTAATGTGTGATTCAGGGATGATGATGTGAGGAGAAATTAGATGCTTATCACTCACAAGTTAAAGGGGTTAAATAGTGAGTCAGTTGTCAGTTTGATGTGGGGATATCTAAACTCTGAATCACACAACACTTTAGAGATTTGAATGACTTGATTCATCTGATTCTTTATTGATTTTGCAAACACGTGAACTCTACAAACAAATGTTAAAATGTCAAAAAAAACCTAAGTATAAGTAAATTACTAAGTTTTTTTCGCCAACTGCGATTTTGAAACATTTTGTAACATGAAATCAATATGTAATTAGAAAGAAGACGCATCAATTTTCATTTCTTGGCTGAAGTTTCTGGATCAGGAGGTTGTCTCATTAAACGAATATTGGCCTTCGTTCAGCAACTATAGTAGACGTATATCTTACGACAATACAGGTAACTTTTTGATTTACCATAGATGTCTGTAATCGTTATAATCCAGCATTTCCAATAAGAGTAGTAGCAGATGTCTCTCTTTTCCCTGTCCTTACCACCTGGAAAATTAGAGCGGAAACTAATTACGACCTATAATCAACTCTGTGGGCATTAACCCCTTAGATTTGTCGCACTTAAGCGGTTAAAATGAAATATAAACAAAAGCTAACAAATACCTTGGATTTTTTCTTTTTCCACACTCAAAGTGACCTTCTTCCTCTTGATACGATAAATGGGAAATTTGGCACACATTGCAGCCATTTCATCACTCAGAGTGGAACGATCATCCACAGTGCCAACAACTTCGAAATTGTCTTCGGTAGTATTAACAGATTGTGAGGAACCACCTGAAGCGCTTTTCTGAAAAAGGAATTCAGAAATAGAATGAGTTGCTTCCCATCAAATTTCTATTTTAATTTGCACTCATTCCATAATCGTATCAAGAAAAGTGGCTTAACAGTGATAACTACAGGCTTTGTTATAAGACCTTATATGGCCATTTTTGAACAATGGCGCAACAGTTTCAGAACACATGGGGGATTTGTCGAAGTTTCCGACTAGCATACGGTTGGGAAATTTAAACGCTCGGAAAGGCTAAAGGAAAGACAGCGAAAAGAACATTTTAGGGGAGAAAATAGCAGCGAGGAAGTTGGCGGGGGAAACTTTCACTTTCTCGCTCGACGGACTATTGAATCACGACTTCGCCGCTCTCAGATTTATCTTTCATAGTATAAGAGCAGTTCAAATCTCGCGCGCTACGCAAGTCAGGCTTAATTCTTTGTGTGAATAATAAGTAATGGTAATGGAGTCTAACTCGGTCTGTAATCATTCGAGTTTTAATCAAGATTACGATAAGGTCGATTGTCCTTTCGATATATGTCAGTTATGACATTTAACTAGAGAAAAGCCGAAAAATCGCGTTCTGAATTCATACCATCTATATAACTAAAGCTTTCCTATAAATAATAATATCAAGGAAACAGAGATGCATCAAAATCGAAGGCTTTATCGTGCACTTCAGTGTAAAGCTCGAGCATCGATCGTTGCTCGCGAACAAAGAAAGGAAAGTTACCTGGTCAAGTGCATTTTTGAGGTCTTGAGGCTTTGGAGCGTTTTCAGTGGATTCGCTCAAGAAACAGGCTTTGCGTTCAGGCATTCGGCGCATGACCAAGTTCTGTACGAAAAACACCAGCAAGTAAATGAGTAAACAGTGACTATGAATTTTAAATAGTAATCACTGTTTTTTTAGAGCACTTTTTGACTGAGTATCACAACACAAGGGAATGTAACAAAGGGCTAACCATTATCCAAAGTAAGCAAACTAGCCAAACGTACGCAAAAACGCGATTAACTTAAAAAAGTCGCGATAAGTTTTTGACTTAAAATACCTAACTATAACTTGGACAAGCGTAAAGCCGCTCTACAAGATCTAAGAGTCGTGACTTCAATCCATTTGGAAATCTTAACTTTTAAACCGCTCTTGGTTAGCTCTTTCTAATTGTAGAGCGCCGTACTACCGTGCGGTAGGTTGAGGGTTCAAGACTCCGACCGGACTAACACTAAGCGTCTTAAAAATAACCGAGGAGAACGGAGGGGAGGGCTGCCTTTGCTATGACACCCACAAATATTTAGACATTCTATTGTTCTCAGATAAGGATAATAAACCGTAGGCCCCGTCTTCTGCATCTTCTCTGTGCTGATTAGCAGAGGATGTTGACCCTTTAATTCCCAGAAGTGATTGAGAGGTAACTTCTCCCAATAATATCCATACAGTATCCAGGAAACAGGTAATGAGAATACTAAAACTTATCACGTAGACGTTGTTATTCTTGATCTAGCACCAAATTCTCTTAACTAATATAAAAGGAAAATGTGTAACAGGTAGTGGGGGGAATTAACAATCAGATCTTAGGAGAGAGTAGGGAGCGTGGCACCCGTTGTTGTGGTCTGGCCTTGTTATTGTCTGCACAAGCCTTGATTTAAACCAGCTTTAAAGCTGAACTGGGCCAGCCTGTCTTAATATCACAAATAAATAAATGATTAAAATAGATAAATAAACCCATAAAATAAGACTTTTGATGAAAACTATGACTTTACGACGACAAGAACGTCGTTGAAAGTTACTCGTCATTGTAAATGACATTAATTCACTTACTCTTTTAAAGTCGTAGACTTCGTCCACTTCTCCTGCGTTGGAAGATTTCGTTTTTGGAATGTGATAAGTCTCGGTTTGTTTCTCGGTGTCGATTTTGATTTCTTGATCATACTCTTCGTCACCATCTTTGACTTTAACTTTGTACTTGGACAAAGTTTCCTGTGAAACAAAAGATTATATAATATTTACGTTTATGTTGCTATTGTTCTGGTCTTATGGTTTTTGTTCTGGTCTTATTCACATGGACTTCAACAGCGAACCTGACGTTTCTACAAAGTAATGAAAGGAACATGGTCTGAACGCGTTTAACGGCTTTATATCGGCATAAATTTCAGCTAAGGGCTGCAAGATAAAATCCTTTCAGCATTGTACGGGAACAACGAAGTCTCCGGAATCCTTGTATCGCAGAAAAAGACTGATGTTCACAAGTACGCGACGGAAGACTGCAAAGCTGCGGATTGATATATATGATAACACTAATGAGTATTTTTACTTTTACCTTATCTTCATCTTCGCATTTACAAGTGGGCGCTGCAGATGTGGCAGCCACGAGCAAGGCAAAGTAAAGGAGGTACACCTTCCACTCCTGATAATAAAAGGAAAAAAGAATTAGTTAAAGAACTATCATTTTTACGCTGTATAACTAAGCCTTAAAAGGAGAGCCCTATCCCTTCTCACAAGTCCAGCTGCACCGTCTAAGCTTCTTTTTCACAATTTGAGCTACTATCAGAAACGGCTGTATAACAAGCATGCGTATACATGAAAAAAGTGAAGCTAACTTCAAGTTAATTCGTGTATTTAAGTACCGTCAAGTGTGCTCACCATATTTCTGTTGTCCAAACGCTAGTGATGACCGGCCCTTGAGTTCGTTCTTCTCGTGGCAGAGGAATGATTCCTATTTCCACAGTGAATGGATAGGATTCATAAAGCGGTATTCTTTTATACCTTTACAGAGCCTCTTATCTTCCTCATTGTTGTAATCTGACATCGTGGATTGATGACAAAACGTCTTCACTTGGAACGATTCCCTCATAGAATCGGGGCTTAACTGCTGAAACAGGGTCGCAACGGGTCAACTTTCCACTACCATCTAACAGACTCCTTTATGGCATGAATAGACATCTATCTCAGTTCAGATTTCACTAAAGCGTCCAATTGTCGATGACAGGCAAAAACCTATTGACATACTAGTATCGCCGTTGGACATGCTCAGTGGTGCCAACGTTAATGAAAAAGTATTTGGAAGGTTAAATACAGGTTATTTCTAGACAAAAATAGATATTGGAGGATTGTGCGTCGAAAAACAGACGAATTTCGTACAAAGATTTATCGTTTGCAAAAAAGATCAGAAACTTGGTCAGTAGCATACCTCCGCCCATTTCCAAATTGATAAAAAATGGACTACAAACACAAAAAGCTATTATACTCTGCTGCAACTTAGATCTTCTATGCATCAAAATGATAAAATACAGTTGCCCTCCCTTCAGCAGCCATCTCACTGCGCATGCTTAAAAATGAGTAAAACGGATTTGTGTGGATCACGACCAGACCTAGATGTTGACAGTTGTAGCATGATTATGAACAAGAGGGTCCTCGGTGATTGATTGCAGACCAAAGGGTTATCAGCCCGCGAATAACGTAAGGTCCAGTCTACACATGTCTTTTTTCCCTCGCAGTGGCCAAAACAAATCTTCTCTGCATGCATGGGAGATTTTAGATGTGAATTATAGACCCCAGAGGAAGTTTTCGTGGGAGTTTTTGAATACCCGCCCAGAATTCATAATTGGTGTTTATTTCAAGAGTAACGCTACTGGACATGCGTGGTAGTGTCATTGCTGAAGCAAGTGCAATTGGAAGGTTAACTTCAACTGTATTAAAATTCACAATGTGATAGGAAACAGTTTTAATCCTGAATAAAGTTGCAAGGAAGGGCTCTGTTTGAGTAAGTGTTACGTTACTTTTCTTAAGTTACGTAATGAATGGTGAACGCAGACTGATGTTTTTGTCGAAAGTCTGGTTACTATCAGAATTTTTCTATCATCACAAACAATAAGATAAATGGAACCCTTGTTTATGTTATTGAGTATGTGTAATGGCACGTTCACCGAAGCAATTGCAACTCGGAGATCAAGTTCCAGTAAACTAATAGCATCAACAACAGCATAAGTTACACGAGTAATTGCACGTACCACCAAGAAATATTTCAGGCAAAAATTTTGAGTTAGGTTTGCATTCATCTTCATAAGGTAACACCCTCGCCATATTAAAGGTGAAGTATTCTTGTTCCTATTCAGTTTCACAGATTTTTTAATCGTTCCAGCATCATTGCTGCCGAATCGAACATCGTGTAAACAGAAGGCTTGACCCCGCAAATGCACTTCCTTTAGCAATCGCGCTATTACGCATGTACAGTACCATTCGTTAGGGATTTATGTCTCATCACGTGCGAATAGCTAATAACAAAGCCCTTTGAAAAAAAAAGGCAGCATTGGTTTGTTGTTTGTGGGACATGCAGCAGATCATTGAATCTTTTGAAGGCTAACAAAGTTGTGTTAATACACTTCTCACGTACTGCTTTGAATTGATAATCTATGGGTGCCTCAACACAAACAAGCGAACAAGCAAAGCAACAAAAGTATCACCGTAGACTGTGAAAGAAAGACTGTGCAAAGACCCCTACCTGAAATATGAGACCAAGAATTAACTAAATTTAGCCACGCTACGTCTGGATAGTAATATGGCCCTATTGCGAACTCTAAGAAGTGGTTCAGCTGACGCTGTTCCTTATGCAGATGCTTCTTTACATGACTAACATTGGATAGCTCATTTGACAAAGCATGGTTCTCTATAGGTTTACTCAATAATGTTCGCTCGTAAATTGATCTCTCGTAAGGCTTGCAGACCGACCCGATCTGAAAATGTTCAACGTCTTTTAGTGTGGGTCTACCGCAAACGGTGTGTGCATTTGTATGTGGTTTAAGCGGAGAAGAAATCCTAGTATTCGTGCTTCCTTTCAAGGACGACGCTTGATATAAATCCACCATTTTTTTTTAACCATGTGCGTGTTTTCTAATCGTGCGTTTGCGCAGAGACAATAAGAAGGGACGCGTGCGTTTTAGGAACCAGACGGCGATTTATGACTGAACGTAGGAAAAAATAACGAAGGCATTTTTAACCTTGGGCTCCCTTTTGGAAGCCCAAATAAAAAAAACACGTTATCGCCGCCTTATTTAGACGGGAAAAGTACACATTTGAATTACGTGACTGAGTCACTGGTCACGGTGAGTTTTAGTATGTGCAGGAGCCCATGGGCTCTTAGTATGTGCTGTTTTAGATTACGTGCAATCCCTCCTCTTGGGCGAAGTCCGTCGCGCGCGTCAGAAAAAAAAATCAGTGCTAAATAAATGAAAATAGATGTACTACGCAGCAAAGTGATAAAATAACAGGTGCCCTCTCTTCAGCAGCCATCTCACTGCGCATGCTCAAAAAAGAGTAAAACGGATTTGAGTGGATCACGACTAGACCTAGATGTTTACAATTGTAGCATGATTATGAACAGGAGGGTCCTCGGTGATTGATTGCAGACCAAAGGATCATCAGACCACGAGTAACGCAAGTTCCAGTCTACACATGTCTTTTTTTCCCTCGCAGTGGCCAAAACAAACCTTCTCTGCATCCATGGGAGATTCTAGATGGGAAATCTCAACCCCAGAGAAAGTTGTCGTGGAAGTTTTTTAATACCTGCCCAGAATTCATAATTGGTGTTTATTTCAAGAGTAACGCTACTGGACATGCGTAGTAATGTCGTTGCTGAAGCAAGTGCAATTGGAAGGTTAACTTCAACTGTATTAAAATCGTCGGCGCGGAAAGAAATAATGAATGATGGTGAGTCGAAAGTCTGGTTACTATCAGAATTTTACTATCATCACAAACGATAAGATGAATGGAACCCTTGTTTAAGTTATTGAGTATGCGTAGTGGCGCGTTCGCTGAAGCAAGTGCAACTTGGAGGTCAGGACCCAGTAAACCAATAGTATCAATAATAGCGTAAGTTACACGAGTAACTGCACGTACCACCAAAAAATATTTCAGGCCAAAATTTTGAGTTAGGTTTGCATTCATCTCCAAAACTGTATGATAAAGGTAACATCCTCGCCATTTTAGGGTAAAGTACTCTCATTCCTAATTAGTTTCACAGTTTTTTTTCCATCATTCCAGTATTCCTGCTGCCGAAAGGAACATTGTGTAATCAGAAGGCTTGACCCTGCAAATGCACTTCCTTTAGCAATCGCGTAACCACGCATGTACAGTGCCATTAGCTGGGGATTTATCTGTATAATCACGTGCGAATAGCTAATAACAAAGCCTTTTGAAAAAGGAAAGGTAGTATTTGTTTGCAGTGTATAGGACATGCAGATTATTGAATCTTTAGGGTGGGTGATCTGGGTGCCTCAACACAAACAAGCGAACAAGCAAAGCAACAAAAGTGTCACCGTTTACTGTAGAACGCAAAGACCCCTACCTAAAATTTGAGACCAGGATTCTCTAAATTTAGCGATATAATTTGATATTATCATCACTTTTCTCAGATTATCGTAAGAGGGAAATGTTGAGTTAGATTTGCAGTGTCCACCCTCCCGTTCACCTTTTCAATAAATCAATTTTTACATCGCAATATTTGAAGGAACAGCGATCATACTCTGGCTGCGGTCGCTCATCATGATAGCTCAAAGCTATTTAGCCATGAAGCGTTGTTTGAAAATAGTCTTTAAACCTAAAAGTTTAAAATTTATATCAGGCTTATGTTCATTGCATGATCTTTGTCAAACAACAGTTAATCTGTATTATTGTAAAACTATACTTTCTCAATTCTTTCTATCTGGGACAATAAGCATTTTGGAAATTTGAACCCACTGTAAACTTAAGAGTAAATGTCAATAAAAATCACAGATTATCGAAAAAGTCGCGGACACGGTCAAAAATCGATTTGGTTCATTTTTTGCCTGTGGGTAGCCTTATCTAGTAAACAAACGGAAATGGGGTTAGATTTTTTAAATATGCACTTTAACGGGAATAATTTGTTTTAACATTTCCGGGGGTAAATAGCTCAAATTTCACCAAGCGCGATCCTGAAATTATGCACTTTTCGGGCACTTGTCATGCTAACAAAAATGTAACGGAAGGACTTTTCTAGTCATAGAAATATTGAGTTGGACTTGTATTACCGAGACAAAGTGATAGTTTTTGTCTAATGTTATTCTTGGAGGAGCTACGTCCCTATTAAGAGACGACATCTTCGGCCTTTCGAAATTAAGGCAAAGGTGGCCTAGAATAGCTTGGCAAAAATACATGTGGTAGTGTCTCAAAGTTTACAATAACACTACCAAGAAGCCTTGAAAGATAGTTCTTTACGATGTGGGTTTTATTTCTTTGGGACCTTTGACTATCAAAAGATGGCCACCAGCCAAATTTCAGTTAAATTACCATGACGCCATAATTAGATGCATAATAACAAAATTAAACGCGTCGGACACAAATAACTGTTTTGGTCAGTTATATCTTCACTGGCCGTTAAAATGACTAGAAATATATTAAAATGTCTATAACTACACTTGATTTTTATATACGGAGACAGGAGAAACAATTTTCGACTTTTGCTACCCTTTGAGAATCACGCCATAATTCTGCATAATTCTACACACAACAGGTTAAACAGTTCAATTGCACTCAAAAGGTTAAATTTGGCACAAAGCCGTTAGTTTCCGTTTACTTCTCATCCGGTGAACATGGATTCGAGCATTTGCATCCCTTCTGCGCCTTCTGCACTCGCCAGTTTCGAATTTACTAAAAATCGTCCAACACAAAGATGAGGTTTCACAAGCAATGGTGAGCTTAAGTGACTAAAATCCGATATGTAGGACTCTGCTGTCACGCAACGCCTCCATGTAAATAATACACGCACCGCTTTTATAATCAGCAG